GGGTGAGGTGGAGCAGCGCCATCAGGCTGCCTGCTGCGCCGCGTGTGTCTGATGAGTCTTACATGCACAAACACATAGATGAACCGGGTGACCGCAGTTTGCTGAGGATTTCCAAACCGGTGTTTGTCCCTCAGGTGTTCGGCTGCCAGTTTCCACGTGATCTGCTGTAAATTTGTCATATTGTTTTCAAAGTCATGAGCTTCCACTCTATAAATAAAGAGCAAAACTGACTTCCTGGATGCACATTTTGAAGAGGAAAGAACGTTTTCAAGGTTTTATTTTCAACAAAAAATCTGAAAAGTGTGGCATGCTTTTTGATTCAAAGGGGAAGCGTCATGTAAAATCAACTTTTTAAAAAAACTTTACGTCATTTTAACATGTTATTCCAGCATCAAACACAAACCTGGAGTGTTACTTTGATTCTTTCATACATATTTGAGAAATCCTTGAATCTCCATTGCAACCATCTCCATTGCAACCATTCAGCATCACAAAACATCTGGGTGGACTTAGCCCCGCCTTCGAGGACGAAGCTCCTCCTCTGAGCCGCAGCTTCCAAGCTGCATCAGACCAGAATATATTTGTCCTCGTCAATAAGGGAAGGATTTAACGCCTGAGCTGTGAATCTCTGCAGCTCCTCCAGAGCTACTTGGACCTCTTGAGTACATCTAGGATAAATTATCATTTCACAACAGTGAGACAGTTGTAGTTTCTATGTTATCCAGTTAAAATTTGTGAAAGTGTACATAAAATAAATTTCCAGGGTTAGCCACCGCTAACTAACCATTAGTTCAGCTAACATGAAAGCTACATCAGTACGGTATTTAGATTAAGCTAATGCTAAAATGCTATTTAATACAATATTAGCAAAAGGTAATTTTAAAGCAAATTCAATTCAGACTTTATTGATCCCGAAAGAAAATTAAATGTTGTTGCAGCTCATTAATTCAGATTTATAGTGCCGGCTCCTGGCAGGAAAGATTTCTTGTAGCAGTCTGTAGTACGGTGAATTTGAAAAAGCCTCTGACTGAAGATACTCTGCTTTCCCAAGACAGTGTCATAAAATAAGAATATTGAATGGGAACTTGTCCTAAAGTGCATAACCGACATGGTATTTAGCAAAAACAAATTCCAACGTGTGATACATTAGCAGAAGCTAATGCTAAAGACAAAAGAACGTTCTATTTTCATAATACAGGAAAATGAGCCTCTCCTCTAATTGCTGATATCTACAGTCAGAGCATTAATTTAGGAAACTAAAAGCAACTGAAATGTTTCCAGCAAGGTGTTTTATGTTAGCAGAAACAGTGAGGATGCTATGCTACATGTAGCAGGAGGACTTGCTGCCTTCCTGGATCAGACCTGTTTCATATCCGCGCTGCATTTCCCATCTGTTTTACTGCTGTGCAACAGAAGCTCGGTGGCTGAGGAAGCGTCAGTTTTGAAACAAATCTTTTATAAACGTGGCGTCGGTGCGAGGCGGCAGATGGAGCAGGGAGGCTGACGCATGTTGGATGGAGTTCAGCAGACCTCTTTAGGTGGAGGAAACCAGGCTGTTGCTGCTCAGGGTCACAGACGTTCCAGACAAGCTGCTGCTTCTTAAAGAAAATATCCACCGGTGTCTTGTTCTTCCAGCGATAATAAAATCCTCTCCTGGGAAGATTCCCACCAGAACAGGTTCCTCCATATGTGGAGGATGAGATTCACTGGATTCTACCAAAACCCAGAAATTACTTCCATCTGTCCTCCTTGTAATGCTACAAACCTGATAACTTCATAAAAACAAAAATAGCTAAATATTTAGTTTGTAAACTAAACAATTTGGTCAGATCTAAATATTTACCTTGCTGACTTAAAAAGCTACTAACTAAACCAAGTTATAGTAAAATAAATGATAAAATAAACTAAATATTTCATCCATTTTACTATTTACTAAGCTAGAGATAGCAAGTTTAGTTTTTAATCTACATATTTAGTTCTGAACTACATATTTAGTTCGCTCATTTAGTATTTACTAAAATAGCAAGTTTAGTTTGTCAGGTAAATATTTAGTTATGAACTAAATGTTTGATATTTAGCTGTTAACATCTAGATTGAAGCTAAATATTAACTGTGCAGCTAAATGTTTTGATCTAAACTAAATATTCAGTTAGTTATTTTACAACTAATCTGATTTGTAAATATTTAGTTTGGAGTAAAAATGTAGTATGGTTACTAAATTATCCCAGGTCATTTTGATTGGGTTTGTTTTCTGACTCTGATATAAAATTTCCAAAAATAGTTTATATTTTACTGATTTTAATGACGTGAAGATACTTTTTTATTTACCGTTTCAAAGATTGAGAAAAGCGTATTCACGTTTTGACACATTTCTAGGGGTTTTGCAGGAGAAACTGCATTCATGGAGTAAAAAAAAAAAAAATTGATGTTTTTCTAAAAGCAAAGGGACTTATTTTTTAAATGTGGCATTTTTAGGGATATAAAATGTCTAAGCATCTCCTCTGTTACTTGAGGACTAAAACCAATAATGCAATTTATTTGTTTAAAAAATAGAGAAAACGTGAGGAAAAAGGAAAACTTCAGTAAAACTGCACTTCAGGGATTCAAAAAATAAAAAAATATGATTTTTCATGCAAGGTGAGGACTGTAATTAGTCATAGCATTAATTAAATTAAAATGAATACATTTGTAGAATACAGATCCTTTCAAAAAGCTTAAAAAAAAGAAAGGTTCCCAAGAAGTGTTTAGTTTGAGAAGTCTTTCCTAGTTTGACCACAGTGGGGCGCTGTGGCTCAGAAGACATCACTTTAACTTGAGTTTTATGCAGAAACCCAAATAAAATCAAGTTTATAACAACATAAAAGTAAATAGTAGCTCTTTTATGGTGCATCTGGAGCAGAGTTGTTTTTATCCTCTCAGCGTTTTATTGAGTTTTGACCAAACGCATCGAGCTGCCAGATGATGGTGAATCACGGCGAAGCGATGCGTCGCAGGAAGTGGCCGGGATCAGGTAGCAGGTCTGGGAATCCTGCAGGCAGAGCAGCATGTTGCTTTAGTAAGTCAAGCTGCTGCCATTCAAACACCCCAAAGCCAATGGGAAGCAGCGCAGCCCGAAACTCCACGCTGTAAGAAATGTCTGCAATAGCAAACAGCGGAGGGATCACAGGGGCGGAGGGAGCAGGAACGGCGCCCTGGGCAACCGCCCACCAAACTGAAACCAGGATTTGAACAATATCTGCTCGTTATTGAATAATCCAGCTCAGGTTTCTGACTGGAGATTATTGATGACAGGAATAATTTCTCACCGATTTAATGTGAGAAAATTAGCTTTTTTTCAGTGTTATATTTTTATATTCATTCTTCCAGTGATTGATTCCTATGGAGTGCCAGCAGGGCCATAATAAAAACAAATAAATAAATAAACAAATGATTAGATAATTTATTTGACTAAATGTTATTTAAACATTAAAAAGCAAACTTATAATTGCTGATGAAGGAACTTGATTTAATTTATATTAATTATTTCATTGTTTGTCGTCCTTTCATCAATCAAATTAGCCCATCAAAGACAAGAAGCGGGGAAACACTGACCTGTTACTCCGCCAGTTTAACTTGACTCTAAACAAAAAACATGGCAGCCCTTACATTGGATTATTTTCATGAGCTGACTTGATTTGTGAAATGATTAAACACAATGTTTTATTGTGTTTAATTATCTGCATTGGCTGTTGCAAGCTTATTATGGTCACAGCAATCATGATACATCTAATCAATTATTCAATTATGTATTTATTTGTTAAATTTTTTCCTTTTGGCCCTCCATAGGAATAAGCAAGTGGGGGGAAAGAGTGAACATAGATATAACCCCACAGACACAGTTAATGTTGCTTCTGGTTTGAGCTAATTTAACAAAAACGTTTGCAATTTAATGATTTTATGAAATATGTAATAAGTTTATTGTCTGTTAAAAATATTTATTTAATGGTACATTGAATAAAGTATTTAGTGCAGTTCCATGCATTCGATGACTTGATAATATACTGCATAATTACCTGACAAACATCTACTTATTTAATTATACATTAGTGGACATATTTATATAATTTTGTCTTCTCTGACCTTCCATATATCCTTCAATATTTGTCCTGACCTCAACAGAAAAGCTGCTGTGCATTTATAACACATTTGGTGATGTATTTAATAAATGAACTGTCTATTAAACATTTATTTACGTAATGGTAAATTTAATGAAGGATCTATTTATATACGTCTAGCTCCTTCCAGCCCTCCAAACATTCCTTCAATATTTGTCCTGTTTTCAGCAGTAAAGTTGCTGTTATATACATTTTAAAGATTGGATTATATATTTCATGAATTAGATTGCAAACATTTATTTAATAATACTAATTTAATGGGCATATTTATATAATATTGTCCTTTCTGACCTTCCATATGTTCCTTCAGCATTCAGATTTCAGTAGGAAAACTGCTGTTATATATGTTTTACATATATATTGATGTATGCAATAAATTCCATTTAATAAATATGCATTTTATGAAAGTTTCACTTATTTAATTTAGTCCTTTCTGACCTTCCATAGACTCCTTTAATTTTTGTCCTGATGTCAGCAGAAAAGTTGCTGATATATTTGTTTTAAAATTAGATGATTTATGTAAAAGGAAAACATTTATTTAATGTATATATTATATAATTTTTGTCCTTTCTGACCTTCCATACATCCCTTCAACATTTTTCCAGATTTCTGCAGGAAAGTTGCTGCTGCTGCAGAGGAATCGGATGGACGGATTTGTTCTCGGTTGCTGTAGAAAATGCGCTGAAGACTCAACAGTTTGACTTGAGGAGGAGAACATTTCTTCCAGCGTGCGGCTGCCTGCTCGGGAGGAGGGAGTCCGGGGGAGAGAGAGGGAGCGAGGGAGCGACGAGGGGGTTGGTCCGGGAGAGAGCATGGCAGCGGCAGCCACAGCGCCGCCGACTTGCTTCTCCTTCACTTAGAGCCGCAAGCAGCAGCCGCGTCCTGTGCGCTCCCGGCGCAGACCCCGTGCGTCATTCTGTTGCTTTCTTTCCGCCTCGCTTCACTCTCTTTGCGTCAAGAAGCCGGGACCGGGAGCGGCTCGGAGTTCAGCCCGGATCCGGAGAAAGCCCGACCCTCCTCGGCCGCCCTGCCGCCTCCGGACCGCGGAGCAGCGGCGCTCCATGTGCGCTGAGCCCGGAGTTACGCGGAACGGAACCGAGCCGAGATCTGCTGATTTCACAGAAAGCGAACAGACAAGCGCAGAGGGAGGCTAAGTTGCCGCTCCGCAGCAGAACCAGAACCAGAACCGGACCCGGAACCGGACCCAGAACCGGACCCAGAACCGGAGCTCAGCCCAGCGCAGACATGCCGCAGGTGGAAATGATCCTGTTCCTCATCCTCATTATTGGGATGTGCGTGTTCGGCCAGGACCCGGGGTCCAAGGTGGTGTCGGACCGCTACGCTGTCTTCTGGAACCGGACCAACCCAAAGTAAGTGTCCCGAACCGGACCGGGAGTCAACTCTCACTAAAGGGCCATTTCACCGCGTTTTAAGGGACTCTGCAGCAACTTTGATCCGCTCCGGTTCGGGACCTGGATCCGCCTGACCGACCGAACCGGGACCGGATCATTCTGCACTGATTACAGATTCTGAAAAACACATTTTACATTTTATGGAGCTTTTACTTTAGATGTAAAAACAGCCTGTTCAGCGCTGCTTATGCATTAATATTCAAAACTGAATCATTTTCATTTTTCTTGCAGCTGTTTTATAAAAAATATTTGTTTTATTTCTCAGAAGAAATCACCAAAAAATGACAATTTAATGGATTAGACTGAGAATAGCTTAAGAAACCAAAAGAAACTCTGTGGTCAAACATAAGAAACTGCAATTAAATACTTTTTAGTACTTAATTACAGACAAACACTTTACAACACATGCAGAAATTGAGAAAACTCTTTTTTTATTGCACTGAAACCACTTTGGATTGAAGCAATTGTCAAAATTGGACCAATTTATTCTGCACTCAAGTCAGGTTCTATAAAATCCAGTTTACGATCCATGAAAAAGTGTTTCCAATGCTTTCAGAAGTGAAGCATTAAACCCGTTTCTGCAGTGAAGCAGAGACGCACCGATCAGTTTTCCAGTAGGACCGATTTTTACACGATTATAACGCAGAAAACAGGAGAAATGAAGAGACGTTTCTGTGACTGAAGCACAAATCAGACGGAAAAGGAAGGATGCAAAATCTTTACTACAATATTTTTAATTAAACTTGATTATAATGGATTGGTTGTGGATTAATATGCAGATAAAGATGATATTTTCACATTTAAATTATTTTATTGACTGTTTTTAATCTCCGTCTGATTGGTTCATCTCCATTCTGCAGTAAATTAATGCAAATTTCAACGTTAATGTTGCGTAAATACAGAAAGAAACAAGAATTTCAAGACTTTTCAGATTCTTACCAAAGAAATAAAAGTTTTTGAGATCATAAATTCTGCTTGGAAACATTTGCAGGCGACGTAGAATCATTCAGATTTTCAATTTGGACGCTACAAGGTGTAAAAATATCCTAAACTAAAACCCGTAATATAACTCGACCGTGCTTTAGATTAAACTTTTAAGATTCAACCCCGATTTAAAGTTTAATGATGCAAAAATAATTAATAAATGTGGATTTTTTGTCATCTCTAGTCATAAAATAAACCCTTTAAATGTTTTTTTAATAATGAATATGGACTAAGTGAGTCCAGGTTTGACCAGTTTAAGTGTTTATATTCAATTTAAATCACATCTGACCCAATATGTGGTGCAGAACATTTACATTTTTTGCATTTTGCTCATAAAATGACCGTTTTCCCGGATCATCAATGTGTTTTTTATTGAAGCTATAATCAGCGTGGACCAGTTTGACCAGTTTGAGTGTTTCCCTGGAAGGCAGTGAGTGATCCAGTCCTGGCTGCAGCGCCGTGACGTTTCTGCCGGTGTGTTTGTGTTGATGGATGGAGCCTCCATCAGGATGTGGCCTTACTAGATAATTTGCAGTTGGATCTGAGCTGCCAGCTTCCAAACACAGACAGTTTTTTTTTACAGCTGCTGTTTGGAGGCTTTATGAGTCTGATTATCAGTTGCTTCGAAGTTTTTGCTTTGATTTGAGAATTTTTATGTGTTTGTTGACTGAAGGGCTTAAGAGTTAGAGTGACATATCTGGTGCTGTGAGCTGCAGGCCGCCTCCCCTCATGAGTCAGTGCCACATGTTTGGCGTTTCACCAAAAACACAGTTACTGTGGGAGGAAGAGTGTGTGTGTTTCTGCAGACGTTTGGGGTTAAATCAGCATTTTTTCCCGTTGGCCCTCCATAAAAAGCTGTTTCTGTTGCCGCTTTTCCATTACAAATGTGTGTAAAACTTTCTCGACGTCCCACTAATGTGGAAAAACACAATTTTGATGTTTTTCCATTAAATAAGAGACACGGCGTGAATATGTCTGTTCCCGCGATGTCGTAAAAAAGGTGCCATCGTCATCCTCCCATCCCTTCCCGTTGTCCACTTTGTCGTTTCTGACAGTAGCAGTTTCACCGAAAAAACCTAAACAATTTCAGTTAAGTAAAAAACAAACAAACAAAAAATAAAACACGTCATTCAAATGGCAAAATATTTTGATCAAAAAACTAAATTGGAGAATTTTCACTGAGCTGATTTTTTTGTGCAATTTTGAGATAAATGGAAACTCCCAGGCTACATGCCAGTCAGGATGATAAACTGAATATTAGAAAACTGAAAATCTCACCAACATCATTTTGTCCTTGTCTGTATTTTCTGTGTTTAAAAAAGGAAAAGTTATGGAAATCATTTCTGTCTTGTTTGGTCTGGCCATCGTCTTCATACACAGTTTTCTTTGATTCTCATCTCCCTTCAGAGCTCGGTCCAGACTTTCTCCGTTTCACTTGGATTCCCTCTGGTAGAATTTCAATCGGGCCAACAGGAAGTGAAGGAGAAGTTGTGAATTATGTCGTTGATGTCGTAGGATTGTGTTTTTAGCAGCGGTGGTGGAGGAAGTGAGCCAAGCCGTTCTCCATGTTGGCTATTTAACAGCCATCTTGTTCGACTCGACACTTCTGTCTTTGCAGTGGAAGACGGTTGTTTACAGCACAGGACGTTTCTGCTGAGCTTCACAGCATTGAACTGGTTAATTCCACATGTTGCAGCCAAACGGGGAAAAAAAATCCAGGAAAAAATAGTTTCTTAATAGCTGGAGAGTCCAAACGCTCTGGTGGAACAAGTAGCATAAAACAAGAGCTGGTTTTTACCAGGATCAATAAATTCTGTTCTCTGCAGTATATTTTACCAGAGCAAACTGTTTAATTTCCCATAAGTTTTATTTAAAGTCAGAAGCTAATGTTTACTTTAAACCTAGAAATCAAGGATTACTTTTCCCTTAACTGACATAAACATTTTAACACTCACTCCATATAAAACCAGCCGACCAAATGTGCTGGAATTCACCTGCGGTTGCCAGGCAACGGGCTGGACTTCGCTGCGGTTGCTAGGTAACGGTGGTTTTTGTAACGACTCATTTTCCAGAAATGAATAAACATCCGGATGTTTTTTTTTGTCGAGTCGTTTTTTAGAACAACTTCATTTCTTCTTTAAAATCCATGAAGTTCTTTCCAGTAACAGAAGTGGAAACCCGGTCCTGGGGAATCAAACCGCCGTCATAACTCTCCGTGGTGAAGTGTTTGTGCTGGCCTATCATGTCGTTTCATCATGAACTGTCAAATCGACCAGGATTGACTTCAGGTCCTTCGTTTCTCCACTTTTTCCTGGCGTTGAAACTCTTCTCGGCGTCCAAGTCTGGTTTCTGGGGTTGCCGTGCGCTCCCTCCTCCCGATCCCTGGGGGAGCTGCAGGGTCACACGCTCGGCAGTAACCGGGCGCGGCGCGGGTTCAGCGGCGCAGGGGGGGCCGTTGTCAGGGTCAGAAAACGGGGCGTCCGCGGGGCCCCGGCGCGGGCCCCGCCTGGGCTTTGTTCCCTCCAGAATGGAGGGCGAATAAATGAGTAACTCCAAATGACTTTTTCTCTTTTCTCATTCATGACTTTGAAGCTGCATGATGTAAACGAGGGCCATGCTGGAAGCACGGCGGGCCCCTCCGACCTGCGCTGCCTTCCCCGCTGGTTAATGCAGCTCCAGTCGCTGCTGCGACACTTCCCCTCTGCAAACCCCAAACTCTTCTTCTCCCAATTCTTATTTTCTTCTTCTTCTTCTTCTTCTTCTTCTTCTTCTTCTTCTCTGTGGCGGAGGAGAACCGGCTGTCCACACTCAGCCATTCATGAAATCCCCCAACAGGAACTCTGGAATTGAAATGGGAACTGAGTCGTGAAAAATGGAAATGCGTTGACATTTTCATGCCTTCCTTCCCTCCCCCCTCCCCAGCCTATTGTTTTAAAGAAGCTGAAAGGATTCCTTCTGTAATTTAGATAAACATGAGCTCTCGCTGGTAAAGCTTTGATCACAGAGAGAGAAAACGCTCCCGCGCTGATGGGAGCAAAAATCTTCCGTTTTTCGGTTTTCCTTCAGTTCAGGTGTTTTCACACCTGAAAGTTTGGTAGATTTGCTCTGACTGGGGATCAAAATGGCTGAATTTGTTACATTTTCATTCTGCACTGCGTCAAACCGACCAAACCTGTTCCCCTCCTGGCCTGTGGGGGCGCTGCACCGAGAAGTACTGAAGGAGACGATGCAAAAACCTCTGAAAACGACACTGAGCGCAACTTTCATCTTCACGAATTATAAAGAAAAATGAAGAGGTGTGAAATTTTAGAAATTGTAGGTTTTTTCTTTTGTCTTTGGTAAAAAACCACGAGCCATTTCTCCTGGTTGCGCTAGGCTAGCACGTTTGTTTCGGTTGTCCTCAGACTGTAGTTCACTTCCTGCTTGGCGTTCAAACTGAACCAGTTCACTTTCTAAAGTTCAATTAAAGCAGAATAAATAGATCTATTTTTTTTATCGTATTGTTTTATCGTATCGTTTATCATGTATCGTGATAATAATTTTGATTCCTCTTATCGTCTAAATCCTCCCAGAAACGCCAGTCTTGCTGGGATTCTTTCCATTTCTCCTGTTTGTTGATTGACAGCTTCGATACGTCGATAAGTCTGAAAATATGATTCGAAGCTGTTACTGTGAGCCGTTCAGACACAAATCACCTTTTATGTGACTGGTGTCAAAGAATCACATTACGAATGGATTCATTTTTCAAAAGCAGCGTTTGTGTTTGTGCATGCAGTCACATTCACACAGTCACATAAAAAACAAGGCATAAATATTTCCTGTCGTCACTTTTATCACTGCAACAGTAAAACCTCCCGTCCAAACCTCCAAACATGAGTGTTGAGTTTCTGCTGGACATAAACTTAGAAATTGTTGGAAAATCTGTTTTATCTGAGCCCATTTTGCTGTTTAAATAAACTATAATCTTTATTCAA